ATATTTTCCGATTTATAGCTCTTTTAATACGTCGTGTTTTCGGTTAACTTCAAATAAAAACCTTTACGCAATGCTCGGTTTAATTTGGTGTTCCCCGACTTAATTGGTTTCGTTTAACGATTAAGCGTGGCATCGTCGCATATTAAGGGGGCATTTTGGAATTTTATATTTACCTCGAATTATATCCGAAACGCGACTAAATCGATTTCGAATGTGTTGGGAAAAATTTACATTTTAATAACGACGTTTCTGTGTCGTATTCGCTTTATTTTTGCCCTTGCCTCCTAATTTTTATGTCGTTTTATCGCTGGCTTAATGCGATGCTACGCTAGAATCATTTTAACACTGAAATCTTTTCAGTTTGCGACAACAGTGAACACAAATAAAAGTGCTAGTTTACTTAAAGCATCACAAACACATTTTTGGATTGATTTGCATAATATTTAAGCTATCTAAATGAAACTTATAATAATAATAATTTTATTTCAGATTTGTTTCTGAAACAATTGTTATTTCGTTCGTTTTCACGTATGAAAATTACTTCAAATAGTGCAATTTATTCATTCAGTCAGAATTACTTGCAAAACCTTCAAATAACTCCAAAACCAATATTTTTTTAAAGCAGAATACCGTAAAGTTGCTCTCACAATGGAAGAGTAAACATGTTAATTGTAATGGGTGTTTTTTTTCGATGTACAGAAATTTAAGTTGGCATTACTGTTCAAGATGGCGAACGATTTAACAGCTGCAAAGTGATTTATTCTCAGTTTGGTTTGGCAATTCATCATGAACAGACTCACGCCTGAACAACGCTTGCAAATAGTGCAATTTTATTTCGAAAATAATGGTTCTGTTCGGAATACGTATCGCGCACTACGTCCATTTTATCGTCGACAAAATCGTAAATCAGAGCAGTTAATTCGATTAACCATGGAACGTTTTCGCACCACGTTTACTCTTATTGATAACTCGCATCCCCAGAGACGCCGTACGGTGCGTACAGAAGAAGCTATTGCTGCTGTAAAGCGTAGCATTGAGGAAGACCCGAATGAGCACAGGAATTGGATCTGTGTCCATCCACTTTTGCGGAAGGGTCTTGGTTTACGCGCTTACAAAATCCAACTCGTGCAAGAATTGAAGCCAAACGATCATCAAGTAACGCGTAGATTCGTCGAATGGACCCAAAACGAGATTGCCGTTGTTCCCGATTTTCATAAGCGAATTTTGTTTAGCGATGAAGCGCACTTCTGGTTGAATGGCTACGTCAACAAACAAAACTGCGGCATTTGGAGCGAAGCTAATCCTCAAGTGTATGTCGAAACACCGTTACATCCAGAAAAACTGACTGTTTGGTGCGCTTTATGGGCTGGTGGAATCATTTTCATCTTCAAAATCTTCAAAAACGATGATGGCCAGAACGTTACAGTCAATGGTGATCGGTATAGAGCTATGATTACTAACTCTTTCATTCCTGAATTGAATAACCATGATGTCCAGGAGATGCGGTTTCAACAAGACGGTGCAACATGTCACACAGCTCGTGCCACAATCGATTTATTGAAAGAAACGTTTGGTGACCGCCTAATTTCACGTTTTGGACCTGTGAATTGGTCTCCAAGATCTTGTGATTTAACACCGCTAGACTACTTTCTGTGGGGCTATGAAAAGTCATTGGTCTATGCGGATAAGCCACAAACGCTTGATCATTTGGAAGACAACATTCGCCGTGTTGTTGCCGATATACGACCACAAATGTTGGAAAAAGTCATCGAAAATTGGACGTCCCGATTGGACTACATCCGCGCCAGAAGTGGCGGTCATATGCCAGCAATCATATTTAAAACGTAATGCCACAAGATTATCTTTCGGATAAATAAAATTCATGTCAATTGAATAGTCCATCGCTGTTTTATTGCAACTTAGAGTTCTATACATCGAAAAAAAAACACTCCTTAGGACTGGCATTTGCGTTTGTTCGTAATTTTTCTGCACGATTCCACTTGAAAAAACACCAAAAAATGGACACTAAAAAGCTAATTGATTTAGTACGAGGAGAAAAAATTAATTAATTGTTTAAAAAATTATTATTTTTGACTCAAAAATTGAAAATGGCCCAAAAAAAAGTTTTGCGGCAAAATTAGTGGTACTTTAGCGACGCTCCTGCAAAAAAAATATTTGCAATATTTGTGATCTAAATTTTATTTATGCCCTCTCTTTTGGTTATATTTTAATATTCAGTTTACCCTAGAAATTAGTAGATCGATTTTTGAAACACTCTGTATATTGACAATGCTCCATTGTCAATTTTGACCCAACAAACCCAAACATTTAAAGAAACGCAATATTGTCTGCAGTGTAGCAGCAGGTTAAAAAACATCTAAAAATGTACCAAAAATGACCATTCTTTAAAACTATTTTCACGGAAGAAATCTAATCTAACACTTTTACGAAGTATATACATTTACACGTTTGTATTAGTTAGATATTACCTTTTTCTGGCTCGTGACTTACCTTCTCTTATTCTTCTACTTGGTTGTTTTTGCTTATTTTTTTTTTTGATTTTCAGTTTCTCAACTTTGGAGTGCACGATTACAAGTAGCATTTATACAAATTGATTTAGTGGTTGTGAAATGCAATGCAAATGCAAGTGTGGTAAGTAGTGTTTAATAGACGAGTGAATTAACAAGTTTACCGAACGTGTTGCATACTATACTTTTTCTACGACCTTTAGTTTTTGGGTACATTTTCTCAAAACAACACGAATACATTACCGCCATGACCGTCAAAATTGACAAACTTCAATATTCAAGCTATGCGGTAAAATCTTCGAAAACATCCGATTGCTCCCGAACTCGTGCGGTAAAATCCCGGAAATGTCCGAAGTAGCCCGAATTCGTGGGAAACGAAACTCACGTGGTAAAGTGACGCTTCCCGCACGCTAAATCGGTATGTAATTAAACGTATTATTAGACGGAAGTAGAAAATAGAATAATATGCAACAAGTGCGGTAAACGGCATTTGACTCACGAGTTTATTTGACACGAGCGGAACGAGTTTTTAATAAACTAGTGAGTTAGTTCACCGAACGTGTTACATACTATACTTTTTCTACGACCGTTAGTTTTTGAGCACATTTTCGCAAAACAACACAAATATATTCATTGACATGACCGTCAGAACTGACAAACGTCAAAATTCAAAGCGTGGGAAATATCTCCGAAAACATCCGAAACTTACGTGGTAAAGTGACGCTTCCCGCGCGCTAGAGCCTTGTGTAATTTTGGTAATTTACAGACGGGAGTAGAAAAATTCCCTGACAAACATGGTTACTTAATGCTCCTAATAATGTCTTAACTAGTATATTATGCAGTAAGTTTGATAAACCTCATTTAAGTTACACGTTTGATATGACTCCAGCCGAGCTCAGAAAAGCTACTGTTTAATCAACGCGTAAATGAAGAAGTTGAATTAAAGTGTTGGCTATTATACTTTTTCTACGATCAATAATTTTTGGGTACATTTTTGCGAGACAGCACTAATATGTTCACTGAGTGAGGTGTCACTTGACCTTCGGAACTAAAATGTCGAAATATCAACAGTGGCTAAAATTTACCAAAGTTGTTAGTAAAGATGACGTTTTAAAGTGACAGCTTGAGGAGTAGTGATCCAATTATACCACGGTCCGACGTTCACAACACACGTTACTCAGTGAATCCATTCTTGATATATTACAAAAATTTTACAAAATGGTTGTAGAAAACATCTGATATGCTTGCATGTTGATAAACTTCCTCAGTGATGCGTTTACTAAACTGCCTTTTGGTTTTAAACATCTTCGAATTTAGTTTGATGCTTTTGAATGCATCTCTCTATAAATAAATAAACCACTAAAAACATTTTACCTTCTATGCTGACTTTTTGGACCCTTTATTATTAGTGAAATTATAGTATATTATCCAACAAGAGCGGTAAATGGAGCGAGTGTTTAATAAACAAGTGAGTTAAAAAGTTTACTGAACGTGTTGCATACTATACTTTTTCTACGATCGTTAGTTTTTTGGTAAATTTTCGCAAAAGAATAAGAATACATTCACTGACATGACCGTCAGTATTGACAAACGTCAAAATTAAAAGCGTGGGAAATATCTCCGAAAATCTTCGACTGCTCCCAAACCCATGCGGTAAAATCCCGGAAATGTCCGAAACTGACTTACAAAAGTGATGCTTTCCGCGTGCTAGATCGGTGTGTAATTAGGTATTTTACAGACGGAAGTAGAAAAAATAAAATGCATGGCGCAAAAGTGGTGACAAGAAATACACAAATAATTTTTTCTACTCCCGTCTGTAAAATACCTAATTACACACCGATCTAGCATGCGGAAAGCATCACTTTTGTAAGTCAGTTTCGGACATTTTCGGAGATGTTTCCCACGCTTTCAATTTTGACGTTTGTCAATTCTGACAGTCATGTCAGTGAATGTATTCGTGTTGTTTTGCGAAAATGTGCCCAAAAACTAACGGTCGTAGAAAAAGTATAGTATGCAACACGTTCGGTAAACTTTTTAACTCACTCGTTTATTAAACACTCGCTCCGCTCGTGTCAAATAAACTCGTGAGTCAAATGCCGTTTACCGCACTTGTTGCATAATATACTATTATGTATTTTATATTGAGGTCCATTTTCAAAACTTTATTCAGTATTTATTTTGCTTCTAACTAATCAAAACTAATAATTTTTAAACAATTTCAATACATATTAGTCTTAATAAGCACATACTTAGACCCTGTTCAAAATACTAAATATAAAACCTAAATTAAAAACAATATATTTGATTGCCTAAGATATTGGCTTCGGCGTTATAACTATAAGACGTATATACAGTTGCACTCGCTCAGTTCAACAGCATACAGAGAGAGTATAACTTCAATAACTTTTCATATCAAACAAATGTTCTGTATTGACTTGCTCCTCATATCAAAAACACCCACGATATACTTACAAATACTTGCAAAAGCAAAAAAATCCAACCACAAAAGAAATACAAAGTTTTTAACCATAAATATCCAGTTTAATCAAACCGTGTCGTTCAAAGCCGTGAGGAAAAACGTATTGTCGAGCGGGCATTTTTTTTGGGCTGTCGTCGACGGTAACGCACGCGAATTGACGGTTTTTTGTCTACATTTTGAAAAAGCGATTTTCGCACATCACGCACTCGCACAATATACCCGACCAATACGCTGCGGCGAACTGAAAATCCCACTCGCTTGTCATTGGAGAAATTACTATAAAACGAATCTGTAAACAATATCTTGGACCTATATTATTAGGCATTAGACGGATTCGCGGCTCGGTCGTTTTTACCGGAGAAATTCGAATCCGAACGCCGCACGGTCACAGTCTGAGGCCGTTGGAATGCGGCTTCTTACAAAGGTGTTGAATACGTTAGTTTGGGAGAATATTTAGATAGTGTCACCCGACATATATTTCAAATTATGCTTATTAGTCACAAAGAGACCGGACAAACACCTTTTGGGCTGCAGCGTTGCGTCCGATCGCACAGGGCCGTATTGAATTATATTTGGTGGAAACGAGAGACGTCCAACTGAAAGAAACCGCAAAAAGTTGCTGTTATTGCCAATATAGGCATTTGGCAAGGGACGAGTAGGATGAGGAGTGTGGCCTATATATGAATGGTTGTTTTGGTATGGTCCGAGGAAATAATTCCCGAGAGGGACATATATCATTGGCGTGCGAAATTATAATGTAACAAAATTAAAATTTTAATAGATATGTTATATTAATAGTTAAATTAAACAAACTTTATACACTTTTAGACATAATGTAAACCACACCCTATGCCTTTTTGGTACGTTCTTTAGACATCTACATTAGAAAATACTAACCACAAATACACAAAACATCCGTCTTTGAAACACATATTGGATTTCTTTAGATACGCATAAAATGCCACTTCCGAATACAAATCGCCAAGTTCTTTGCATACCTACAATATTGCGGCATTGTACTATCATTCTTTGTAAAAGCAATATGCAAAAACGCCGCTTCAAGTTCAAAAAGTAACTTTTCTCACAAAAAAAGTAGACGTAGTTGAAGACGCACGTCAAATTGATGTTAAAAACTGCCCTACATTGGTGTGAGCGTTTAGTCGTTGTAACGTATTGATATTAAAAAATACATTTCTTACAGCTGTATCGCTATTGTTAAAAAAAGAACTATTTTTATTTTTTTATTAGCAAAGCATTTTGTTGATGTATATTAAGTTAAGTTTTTAATTGACCTATGCTTTGACTACATAAAAATATTATTCTGTGTATAGTGTATCCGTAAAAAAATCGATGCCAATCATCGCCAATGATTTTGTTAAAATTCTAATGATTATATATCTATTATGGAAAACGTATAGCCCTAGATCGCGGCAAACGATTACTTCGCGTAAAACGTTTTGCTTTGGTTAGAGTCAAGTTCCCAGAACGGTCGCTAGATGGCGCAACTTCTATGGCTTATAAGAAAATGTGACTATTTATAAATCTTCTGAATTCCTCCTGCGTCGGTGGTTGACGAATCGAATTTGCTGACTTTTCACCAATCATCTTGTTACCTTCTTCAGAGCTTAACCGAAACTATTTCAATTCCTTTTTCAAAATTTTTGGGTGGAGGAAATCATAATCTTCAGCAAATTTCGGAAACGCTTCCAGCATAACAAACATTTTTCCAAAAATTTTAACCAGCTTATGAAAATACTACATTAATTTGCTTTGGATAATGATACCAGAATACCATCATGAAATTCTTCTTCTTCAGTTGCCAAGCAGATTCCTGGGTAGGTGTTCATCGTTTTATTAACAGATGGTTCTGTTAATTACAGCATTCTGTAGTGTTTGAAAATCACTTATCCCTGTCCATTGGCGGATATTTCTTAGCCACGATATATTTTTTTGCCTATTCCTCTTTTCCCCCCTTCAATCTTGGTCGAGGGATCGCTCTCCTCGGATAATATGTGCGAGATAGCCCGTTTTCCTTTTCTTGATGCTTTCGAATACTTCTCGTTCTGCCTTCTTAGGATATCCTCATTTCTCACGTAATCCACCCAAGACACTCTCAATATACAACGCAGAATCCACATTTCGAAAGTCTCAATTTTGTTGATAGTTTCAGTGTCCACGCCTCGAGACCTTAGAGGAGGATGGACCAGACCTAGCATTTCACCCTTCTATATCTGAGGCCAAAGTTCAAGTTCGTGTCTGTGAGGAATTTTAGGAGTCTCGAGAAGGTTGCTCTAGCCTGTTAGATCCTGCATCTCATTTTTTGATCCGGGTCCCATCCTTTATCGATCATACATCCCAAGTATTTAAATTGTGTGACCTGTTCGATGTTTCCTTCATTAATATGTACTCGCGTATAAGGAATATGGTTCCTGCTAACGATCATAACCTTGGTTTTTCTGATGTTAATTTTTAAGCCTAATCTTTGGCTTTGTTGATGGACCTGCGTTAGCAGGCTTTGGAGATCCTCTGCATTGTCTGCCAATATCACAGTGTCGTCTGCGTACCGGATATTGTTGATGGGAATTCCGTTTATCTTGATACCAAGAGGACTATCTGAGATGGACAGGATGGCACGATGGCAGTTTCTTTTTATGAAAAGAAAGAGTGAACTTTCTTTGAATCGTCATCAACAAGTATTTCGAAATTTTTTTTAGGAGGCTCTACTTGACTTGGTGCACTTTTTCCCATAAAAATTTTTATATTCCAATAGTAGTTTTTCCCGTTCCAGTGCTTCTGGAATATCATTCAACAACCTTTTCTCATAACAGGGCTGTTGGTTAGATTGCTGGAGTTAGACACTTGTAGTAGACAAATTTGATGAGATCATAAATCAACTCCTAAATCAGGACTTGGAGAATATTTTTTCTAAGTACAGGTTGAACAACATGGGGGACAGGATGCATCCTCGACGAACGCCTTTTTTAATTTCAAAATCCTCGGTTCCAGCGTTACTCATTCAAACCTCCGCTCTCTGGTGCTAGTACAGATTACCGATCAACCTTTTATCTTTTCCATCTAGTCCCATTTCTACAAGGTGTGTCACCAGAAGATCATGTTTAACGTTGTCCAATGCTTTCTCATAGTCAACGAAGAACGAACTGACTGGCTCCAGTCACTTCTTTACATTTCCGATAGAGCCTTCGTGAAGTATTCGGAGAAAAAGGTTTAGGAAATGGCTCATTAAACTAATGAGATGGTAATCCTTACATGATGTTGCTCTATTCACCTTTGGCATCGCAACGAATGTAGAACGGAGCCAATCCGTTGGGAAGTGTCCGGAATCATAGACGTTATTAAAAATTGTCACGATATTTTCAAGGTTTTGTTCGTTAGTCAAGTGAAAGGTGTCTGAGAACATATCATCGGGACCTGGAGCTTTGTAATTTTTCATTAGCTTGATGGAATGGGTGACTTCTCTTCTCAATATGCTCGGTCCTGGGAGAGTAGATATTTCTATTAGGAGATTATCTGGTCTATCGTCGTTGTATTCTCTCCATACCTACAGCAATTCCTCGGGTTCTGTCACTATTTCATTGTGTTGATTTTTAATGAGACTTAGTGGTCTATTGTTGTATAACCCCGCTATTTCTTTTACTTTTTTATGAAGGTGAAAACTATCGCCAAGCCTGCAAAGGCTTTAGGCCTCTCGGCACCTTTCTGGGTTTTACATTGCCTTCATTCCTCCATCAATTTTAAGAGAAACTTTTCACTTGTGGTTGTAAAGGCTCGTTTGAGATCAAGTCAGTGCCTGTTAGTGTCGCTGGTGCTGGCAACGTTTTCTAGTTCCTTATTAAGATGGTCTTCATACGATAGTTTATTAGTTATTAATAAATACGGTAAAAATTAATGCGCCGCAGGCCTTTACCCCATTTTATTTCTAAATAGCGATTTCCAACACAGTTAACTCGTTTTTCCAGAACATTTAACGAGATCTAGGCATATATTGAGAAATTACTGCCATAAAATGCTTTTTCCTTCTCAAAATTTTTGGTGTGAACTAAACGTTTTACAATACTTTAAAAATTAGTTTGTGCTGAAAATGTTTAAGAGTCAGAATCGATTACAATTAGGGTTGTGGAATTGGCCGGTCATTTTTTTGTGTCAATTAACTGAAATAATTCTTAAAATACCACGAAATTTATATTTATTTATTTATTATAAACCTCATATTGTACGTTACATCGCCCTCGCGTCATTCCCCGAATGGCTAAGTATAGTACTCGGGTATCACAAACGCATATTAATTTATTATAAAATACAAATTATTGCAAAATGTTATTTAAAACTTTTTTTAACTAGTCATTTTAGAAGTGGCCAACTGACCAGTTCTTACACTAATTACATTTTACGGTGTAGCCTATTGCAAAAAATAACCTCATAGATTTTTGAAATTTTTGAAAATTTCTCATTTTAGAATATGCGTGGTCTTATGAACAAGAACACATCATTATCATTATCTAGAATTTTTTTTTTAATAATCATAATAATAACACAATTGCTTTAACTTTTGGATCGCAGAAAAACATAAAACACGATGTTCTCGAATGAGTTATATTTATACAGTGAAGGTAGCGTACTATGAAAGAAGCATAAGGCATTGGAGTGGAAGTTTAGGTTTGTTTGTTCTATCGATATGACTACGACCATCTGTATGTAAGTTTCTCCCCGCAAATCGTAGTTAAAACCAGAAATAAACGGAAAATAGTACTCGAGGCCCTTTACAATGTTGCTACGTCACAACGATTATTCAAATGACAGTCCGTTTAGCAACTTATAAGGAAACGTCGAGTGACGGAGACCAGTTAGCTCTTTAAAATTCCGCGACAGTCGTCCGCTATAGCTCACACTTTTGATTAAGTATAGGGTGAACTCACAATAATGATCTATAATGCAGTTAACGACGCTTCATCCATATTTATGACCGATTAATTTGCAAATTTGATAAAATTATAGTGCCAGCCTATATGTAAGTCGGAAAAAATGTTTGTTAGAGATATTGCGG